ATCTCTTTGCGGTGACTATAGTATGCTGAAGAACCTGTCTTGAAACATTGCAGATCAGACCTGATCTCGGAAGAATAGAAAAGTGGGTTCTACGCAATGCTTTTGACGATGATCAGAATCCTTATCTGCCAAAGGTTTGTTTGTTTTCTTGTATCAGGTCCAATAATCATAATCTTTGTTTATTCATTTGCATAAAAGGCAGTAGACTCCCAATACATTGTGTACGCTTATGCACAAATGTATGAGATGTGTATTATATGTGTCACATATAAGGGTATTATATGTACACACTCCTCCCACCTTCCACATATATTATGTGTGTGTGTGTGTGTGTATAATGAAATGATGTTTGAAAAGACATTATGATCAAGTAGTTGATCCTCATCTGCTTTCTGTTTTTAGCATATCTTGTATAGGCAGAAGGAACAGTTCAGTGATGGAGTTGGCTACAGTTGGATTGATGGCTTGAAGGATCACGCAAGCAGTCTGGTGAGCTCTTTAGTTGTTTTCTCTTCCCTCCTCTTCCATTCTTTATCCCTTCCTTTTGTGGTTTTGTTGAACACATCTCATATACTTGGTCCAGGTTTCTGATTCTATGTTAGCGAATGCAAGTTTTGTTTACCCGCATAACACACCCACGACAAAGGAAGGATACTATTATAGAACTATTTTTGAGCGATATTTCCCCAAGGTGGGTCTTACATAGTCTTCTTTTCCTTGTTATTCATGTTCAGTTTATGATATTTTGTCCCAAACAATGTTTTCTTTTTCTTCCTTTTTCTGTTAACAAGATCGCTTCTATCTTCGTATTTGTTGATAAAGTTAATCACATTGTTAACTATTATTTGGAGCAGAATGCTGCGAGGGAAACAGTTCCAGGTGGTCCAAGTGTGGCATGCAGCACTGCAAAAGCAGTAGAATGGGACGCAGCTTGGTCCAAGAATCTAGATCCATCTGGTCGAGCTGCACTCGGTGTTCATGCAGCTGCTTATGAGGATGCATCAGAGGTTAAAACCACAGTCGCGACAGATACTGCTCAGAAACTTGACGTTGATAAAGCTGCAGTAGCTGTTTGATTGTATATCTTCATTTATTGAAACGTCACTTGTTGTTACTGTCAATTTATTTAACTTATTTCACGAGTTTGAATTCTTCGGTATTATTCCGCGTGTTTATTCTACTGAGAAGAAATATGCATGAATTGTGACAAATATATGTATGACTTTAGAACCTGAGTGTGAATGACAGACGTCCTGAATCAGGAACGGAGCATTTCGAGGCTGGGGTGGGATTATATACACCGTCAATTCATGAAAACTTCATATTGGGTGACGTTAAAACATAAACAAACATACACCGATAGTGTTTTCCTGAAGCTTAGCCGATCATGCTCAAATAAAGGAAGAGAATTATGGTACTTAGCAACCAACTTAAATATTCTAAACTAAAATGAATCCTCTTGATGCAACTTGAATGGAGCACAATGGATATTATGAATTAGTGATCTGACTAATTTGCCATTTCTAATATACTTTTTTGTTAAATTCATTTCCATTCGCCGATAGTGTTTTCCTGAAAACTCGCAGAAACACCCCATGACTCAGAATGATTTTTCCTCAAAAAAGATGATACGAACCTATTTGCTGGGAATTAGAGGTGGAGATAGGATTTCAAGCTTATGGGTTCGGGATTCTAATCATTTTAAGTTAATAATTTATATATATTTAATGGATTTTCTAAGACAAATATAGGGTTCGAATTAAATCTACTGAGTTCGGCCGAACCCGCTTCCGACACTCTAGCTCCGGGAATCATAGTCTTACTTAAGCTGTTTGATTATTTCACTTGGTTTTGAATGATTCTGACAAGGAAATTAGAACATTAGATAATCTAATGTCAGTAGTATTTTATGGGTTTTAGATTATGACATACATTAACATATAATGAAACTTTTCGAGATTATGGGATTAAGTACCCTTTACACTATTAATACACCAAAGTCAAACGCTAGATTAAGTAGTATTCTCATTTTGCTTTCTCATTGGAACCGTTGCAGCAGAAATGCATCTCTATGACACTCTTGATATCTAAGTTATAATGAGATAAATCTAGCTTCTAACCAAAGTGTCGAGAATAACCATTAACACCCTGCTGCACTCGAATTGAGAACCCTAACTCTAGCTTGTAAATGTGAGCTGAGTCAAGAGAAGAAGCAGAAGACAATAAGTTGTGAGCAAATAAAAAATGATTCTCATTTTTAAAGATGAGTTACAAAGTATACATATGTACACGTGTTCTAACTTCTACTGACAGCTGTCAACAACTAACACAACAACTTAACTAACTATCTAATATTTAATTAGGCACTAATTGTATCCTATTGACACGTATCTCTCAAGTTACTGCATCTTCAATACTCCTCCTTAAGCTAGTAGGTGCAAACACATTAGCACTCCCAGCTTGGATACAAGATACTCATGTTGTGATCTTCCTAATGCTTTTGTCAGAATATCTGCATGTTGCTCTCCTGAACTTATATGCAATGTTTTCACCATTCCCAACTGAATTTTCTCTCTAATGAAGTGGCAATCCACTTCTATATGTTTGGTTCTCTCATGATAAATCGGATTTGCTGCTATTTATAGTGCTGCCTTACTATCACAGTATAATTCTACAAATAAATTCAGCTTTGTCCCATGCTCTTTGACTAATCCAACTAGCCATACTAACTCTGAAACTGTCAGCCATGCTTCTATGCTCAGCTTCAGCTGAGCTCTTAGATACTGTGTTTTGGCTTTTTGATTTCCATGATATCAATGAATCTCCATACTTCACAGTGTATTTGGACAAGAGGCCCAGTCTGCAACACAATAAGCCTTCAGTTTCTCCAGCTTTTTAGAGCTCATCAGAATCCCAAGTCCTGGTTCTCTTTTCACATATCTCACAACTCGTAGGGCTGCTTCCCAGTGTAACTTCTTGAGTTGTTGCAGAAACTGACTAAGAGTCTGAATTGCAAATGCAATATCCAGTCTTGTCATTGTTAGATACAACAGCTTGCCTATTAGCCTTTGATATTTTCCTCTATCTTCAAGCAATTCATCACCTTCTTCCCTGTGACTTCATCCAGTTCTTTGGTTGTAAATTTCTGATTGTTGTCAAGTGGAGTCCAGGATGGCTTAGCAGCACTCAACCCCACATCTGTTATAAGTTCCAAAGCATATTTTCTCTGATTCATAAGGATCCCTTTCCCTGATCTACTGAACTCCAGTCCCAAGAAGTATCTCAGCCCCCCAGGTCTTTGATCTTGAATGCTTTATGTAACCTAAGCTTAATTTTCTCAATTAAGTCCAAGTCAATCCCAGTCATCAACATAGGCAAGTATGATGATTGTACTAATTCCTTTCTTATTTATAAATAAGGAGTAGTCTAAGCAACTTTGTACAAAATCAAGTTCAAGCAAAGCATCTGTCGGCTTCAAATTCCACTGTCTACTGGCATATGTGAGCCCATAGAGGGATTTAACAAGCATGCATACAACTTCAGACTCCCCCTGGCTGGTGAATCCCTTTGGAAATTGCATGTAGACTTCATCATATAGATCACATTGAAGAAATGCATTGTACAACATCCATTTGATTGATGTGCCAACCTTCAACTGCTGCAATGGCAATGACTAATCTGACTATTGCAATCTTCACTATTGGAGAAAAGGTCTTATTGTAGTCCAACCCTTCCTTCTGATTGTAGCTTTTAGCAGCCATTCTAGCTTTGAACCTCTCTATAGATCCATCTGCCTTATACTTCAATTTGTAGACCCATTTGCAACCTATTGGTCTCTTCCCTGGTGGCAACTTGACAAGTTCCCAAGTTCCATTGTCTTCTAGAGCTTGAATTTCTGTCCTCATTGCTGCCACCCATCTTTTATCTCTTGATGCTTCCACAAAAGCTCTTGGTTCTTCAATAGCAGAGAATGTAGTTAAGTAGTCCCTATAAGCCTTATATATAGTATTATAACTGACTGAGTTACATATGAAATAAGGTATTTGCTGATCTTCAGTGCTGCAGTTGAGACATAGTCTGTCATCCAAATAGGTGGCCTTTTAACCCTGCTAGATCTCCTCAAGGAATCATCATGTGGAATAGCTAATGGCTGAGTTGAATTTTCAAGTTGTTCTGATAAGTCATGGTTATCTTCTGATGAAATGCTATGTAGATCAGAATCATTAGGAATGTCAGCATCATAATCCTGTGGATTATTGACATCATAAACTGACCCATTAATGTACTAATCAGAGGCTTCAATGCTTGGAACAACTGTATCAAGATCTGCATCACCATCTACAGCATTAGGAAACTAATGTGTCATACCAAGATCATTATCAAGTGGAGCCGCATCTATGTTATTGAGAAACATAGAGGATTTTCTATGGTTCCCTTGCTTGAAAGGAAAGATATTTTCCTGAAAAACTACTTCCATGTTCACAAAAAACACATGCTTAGTTAGATCATATAATATGTACCCTTTTGTCACTTTTGAATATCCCATGAATGAAACTGATATTGCCCTTAATTCAAATTTGTCATGATTGTGCATCCTCTTGACATAACATAAGCATCCTATAATCCTGAAGTGATCCCAACTGGGTTGCTTGTTGTGAAATATTTCATATGGACATTTTCCTGAAGGGACACTGTAGGTAGCCTGTTTATAATGTTGGTTGCTGCCAAAACACAGTATCCCCAGGAATTTAAAGGAATTCCCCTTTGAAATCTAATAGCTCTTGCCATTTCTAGAACATGTCTATGCTTCTTCTTGGCTATCCCATTTTGTTTGAGGTGTATAGACACATGTCCTTTGGTGTATTCTCCCATATGACCGAAATAACTCTTAACATTCATGATTCATAAATTTTATTCCATTGTCTGATCTAATAACCTTTACCCTTTTATTAAATTGAGTAAGTACTAGCTGCAGAAATCTTCTTAAAACAAACACAAAATCACTTTTTAATTTTAACATATATAACCATGTCATTCGAGAATGATCATCAACAATAGTCAAAAAGATTTTATTTTTATCAAAGGTTTGTACACTATGTATCCCCCATACATCAATGTGTATCAAGTCAAACACTGCATCTTCTCTAGTAGTACTACTTTTGATAGGTAATCTGATGTGTTTAGCTAAGGGACGAACATTACAATTTTTCAAGACTTATCTACAAGCATCTACAGACAAGTGAAACACTTGGTTTATTGTCTAGTTGAAGTATGCCCTAATCTCTGTGCCACAATCCAATGCTCTTTTCTTCTTTTCTGACAGAAAAACCTTTAGATGTATTCTTTAGACCTTCAGTAGAAGCGTAAGGGAGCATTAGGTAGATTCCTCCTCATTCTCTACTAATTCCCTTCACCTTCTAAATGCAAAGGTCCTGAAATATACAAAAGTCATGGTAAAAGGCAATCATGCATTTCAGCTCTTTAGTTAGTTTGGAGACTGATAATAAATTGTTCTTAAAATCAGGAAAACAAAGCACATTGTCAACTATGTCTCCATTACTTAGCTCACATGACCCTATATGAGTTACATATGTAACACCTCCATTGGGCAAATGAACCTTTTTGGCTTCTGCTTTATTAAGTTTGATCTTATTAAGCAATAGATTAGCATCAGATATCATATGATTGGTCGCACCCGTATTAATTATCCATTCTTTCCTACATGTCTCTACTAGAAAAGCATTGAGTGTACCTGCCATATTAGCTAAACTCTCTCCAATTTTTTCTTTGTTGAGTAGCTTCATGATTTGAGTGTACTGGTCATGAGTGAAGAAAAAGCTTTTTGATGCATCTGAACTGTTGTGTTGAGACTCTTTGGTAGTGTGAGTTCCTCCTCCCGGACCCTGCCTCTTGTAATCTTCCACAAACACATTGTGAGCAGCATGAATTCCCCCTTTCATTTTGTATTTGAAATCAACAGGATAACCTATCAGTTTGTAACACTTTTCTCGCGTATGTCCTTTCATTTTACAATAACCACACTGAATACTATAGTTCTTTTTTTTGTCTCTGCATAGCTCCTGCTCTTGCAGTCATTAAGGTTGTTACTTCACCTCCTTCAATTGATGTAAATAAATTTGTCATGCTCCTCTGACTTTCTCGTTCTGTAAGCATTGAATACACCTTATTTATAGTTGGAACTGGAATCATCATGAGGATTTGGCTTCGAGCCTACTCATAAGACTCATTTAGTCTCATGAGAAACTGTAAGAGTTTCAGACGCTCCATGAAAGTAACAAATTCTCGAGATTTCGCAGTCACATCCCGGAATTGGAGCTAAGGAGTCAAATTCTGCTCACAACAACTTCAATATTGAAAAATAGTCAGAAATTGAACTTGTTCCCTGATTAATTGTCACAATTTGTTTATGAATCTGAAAAATTCTTGAGCAATCGATTTTGTCGTAACACCCTTTCAATTCTCCCCAAACTGCACTGGCACTTGATGAGTACACAATTCCATTGAGCAATTCAGGTGAGACGCAATTCATTATCCATGACAGTACTATAGCGTTGCATCGCTCCCAAAGAGGAGGTTGAGACCGTAATTTTCTCTTCTGCATATGCCTTCGCTCGACTCCATACAGAGTAGTTCTCCAATCTTTTCAATTGCGGAGAAATTAACACTGCTCCTAAATTGTCATTGGCATTCAGAAATACCGGATGGTTGTGACTTAGCTTTTTTGGCAATTCATCGTCGAGCGCCATCAGTTGAACACACCTGCAAATTCCGGCGAAAAACTCCGATCAGATGAGATGACCACACTAGTGGCCGGTCCGCTATGATACCATATCGAGAATCACCATTAACACCCTGTTGCACTCGAATTGAGAACCCTAACTGTAGCTTGTAAATGTGAGCTGAGTCAAGAGAAAAAGCAAGAGACAATAAGTTATGTGCAAATGAAAAATGATTCTTATTTTTGAAGAAGAGTTATAAAGTGTATATATATATATATATATATACACGCATGTTCTAACTTCTACTGACAACTGTCAACAACTAACATAACAACTGAACTAACTATCTATGTTACCGCATCTTCAATACAAAGGGAATTGCTTAAAAACATAATCAAATTAGCGAATTTATAAATTTAATGGAAGATGAAAAAATATTTTATTATAAAGAAATTTTTGAAAGAAGATGTTTACAGAATTGTTGGCAAAGTATATATATTAGAAAGAGAAATTTATCCATTTTATGGTTTTTTTATATTAATTATAAATACATAAAAAGAATTGTTACAAAAAGGATCGACGTAAGAGAGGTAAATTATATATGTAATATCGTAAACCACAAAGAAAGCTAGTTTACAAAGTGAAACCTCGTATGAGTGTGTGTGTGTGTGTGTGTGTATATATATATA